AAATATTTTAATCAATGTGTGCTATATAAGTCTTGTGTAATAGTTGATATGTCAGATTACACTTGTTTATTTTATTTTTTATCGTGTCGTGAAGCGGTATCTCATAAAACACGAAAATCCGTTATAATACGAGTTTATGCAAGGGAAGAGTCCCTTGCATAAACTAGGATTATCCAATTAGTCCAAGGTACTCTGGATATTGTTTTTCTAGCTTATACTCTCTGGTATAAGCTAACCTTGGACTAAATGGACGCATCATAAACTTTAAGCAGCCACAAGATTGCATGCACAGGGCCTTATTCCCCATTCTACTGTAGAGAGGTGCAATAGGACCATATCGCGCCTATATTTTTGATTTATCTGTTTACACTGATCAATGATATGAACAAATCCAAAAATATGAATTTCGCTCAAATTCGACCACTAGACGATATCTAGTTTTTATTACTATGTGATGTGAAAGCTATAAATTGGTAAAAACTAGCGAAAATTATTTATCGAACATTGATGTACCAGTCAATATATTTTGCTAGATAAATAACGTAACGACTTGATAAGTAATAAATCTGACCGCATCCGCTACTAGACGGTGTTTATAGCATTTAACTTTTTCTGCTATAAACAAAAGTTTGATGTGAGCTACATGAATGATAGTAATAATATCAACGGAAGTTATTTAGTGAAATTATTTATAATACTGATAATATTTTTTTTACAAAGAGATTAAAAGTAATATATACACCTTGCTGTTAATGTCTTAATTATAACTGTAGTAAAAATAATATAAAATGTTATATTTTAGTCTTTTTATACGAAAAAAATGTATACCGCTGTACCAGTCTGGACATGCTGTGGATAATAACGTAGATAAACACGTGTAAAGAGATTGGAAGAAGAAAACTCATTGCACCGACTTCAAATAAATTTGCGAAAATTGTAAGAAGATGATGATATTAACGATAGTTTACAACTCACGTCTAACGTGAATTTAAAATAAAAAAAACTTAGAAAAATGACATCAGATTGGTAGATAACATTGTATCTGTACGAAGTTTCGACTTCGTAATGTATCTTCCTAAACTTCGTTGTGGGATATTCATTTGCCACCTAGTAGACGATTGAAATATTTCTGCAGAATAAATTCATTCTATCTTAAAGGGTTTATTGCCCAGGGGGTGTAAACTTCCCGTTGGTAATATGAAAACTGTCCAATAAGAAAATGAATAGTAATGTTATGGGATGATATTAAAAGATAAGTTTAGGTGTGCATTGGAGTTAATATTAACATACTAATATTTTTTCTACATAAAATACCTAATACTATTAATATACATGTCAATAATCCCGCTTAGCTAAGGAGAAACGTGGATTTATTATATTACGAACTCCTCCAATTTACTTCTGATTAATTTAGTTGCGGGTTCTAAAACAGTTTAATTTTTCCAGGAACTTCCCGAGTACCATTACTCGGCGTGTTCGTTAGTCACTGCTGTTGAGCCTGGTGTACAGGAGTTACACTAGGGGGAGTGTGGGAGAGATTAGTCGCAATCCATGCCAACTCATAGGTATGCACATTTCGTTAATGCTGCATCCAAAGACTCAATCGTCACACTAAATAGTTCGTTAGCTAAAAAAAATTTTCATTTCATGTAACTCTCTACAAGTATCAGTTTCCATGGTAATATTCTATATTAATTGCATTTAGACATACCATTGGGCAGATAAGAAGACAGATAGGAAAACAATACCTACTTGAACGTTTCTTATGAACTGGTTCTATGCATGTATATGTTATAATTTATACCACCATAACTTTTATAGTTTGTAATATGTGGTATGATATTAAATGAAGGGATAAAAACTTTATTGTTAAAACGTTATTAGTATGTTTTCGATTCTGTCTTGTCTTGTAGAAAATAATCATAAATAAGTTAAGTAAAAATATTTTTATCTGTGAGAAAAGTTAAAAGTTATTTGACAAGTAAAAATCAATTATCTTTACACTTTTTTATGGACAGAAGTCCGGTCTTTTTTTAGAATAGAGAATTTACATTGCAATTCAACATGGCAATGCTGCCAGCCTTCTGACAACGCTTCTAGTAGGGGACAATACGGAGGATTTTTTTGAGGCTTGTGTGTACATTTTGTAAATTTATGTTTTAATTTTATTACATTACTTGTGTTGCATTAATTTACTTGTGATTTGTTTATGTAAACATAAGATACTAAATTATAAATATTTCTTCAATGAGTATAAAATTATTGTCTGAGTGTAATTCATTTGATACTACAATTCTATATATAAAAATATAGATCTTGTACGTTTAAATAGCACTCTGAAGGCCAATTCTCGTAATAAAAGTTCGATCAAAATTCAGTTCCTATCAACTCTCGATCTCACAACTGTCATAAAAAGTATTTTCGTAGGGAAATAGTAAAGTACTAGGTACTAAGATTAGCAGATTACTGATTAAATTGTCGGTAATAATGCGATATAATTACATTACAGTCAACATTGGACGTTTAATACTTTACGAAAATACCTTTTATGACAGTTGTGAGATCGAATGTTGATCGGAACTGAATTGTGACTATTTGTGACAGAACTTTTTTTACGAGAATTGGCCTTCTGGTATTCATAAGCGTTAACTAGTTTGAGATTATACGGCTGTATGTAAAATATATCAAGTTGTTTTTATTTGCAATTTTTCATAAGGAGCACGAATTTTTCAATATCTCTGGGAAGCCATATTTGGAGAAAAATCACTATACTCGTGCGCTAACAGTGATTCCATTTCATGTATCTAAGTGACCTTTTATGTGAAACATCTAATTCAAAGAATTAGACCGGCTGTTGGCTATGTTTGACGCTAATTTATAAGTAAGAGCATATCTTGAGTACACCCACGTTGTGCAGATATTATTATATTACAATTATTATATTATTTTATAATCCTTTTTCGAGCTATCTTTGTACACTTATTATTTCTACAAAATAATTTCGATATTTCAGATCTGGCAGACATCAAACGATGGCTCAACTTTTTTCTACTTACAGCGTTCGTTACTTAAGATATTGCTAGTGTCGTAACCGGTAAAAGTGATCTTCTACAATTCCAGTAAAACTTAGACATTCTGGCGTTATCTCTATATTACCTTACTGAAAAATGATAAAAATTAAAAAGCAAATATTATAGACGAAGCTATTTTCAAGCAAGTACCAATTATGTTTGTAGTATAGTTTTGCAACTTCTAATCGCAACTATACTACCACACAATTCTGAGGCACTTAGGACGAACAGTCAGAAAGGGTCCCGACAAGAGATCTTGAATATCCCAATCACAGCCACTATAAAGAGGTTAACAGAGTGAGATGGAGAAATGTATTTTAAACATCCACAAAGGACTATCAAATTAGACACGACCTTCTTCAGTAAATAATGAACGCGACTAAGAAGAGCCATAGAAAGAATCAATCGAGATATTATAGATTAATAAACAATATTATTTTTGTGTATATATTATATTATGTTAAATAATTTCGTATTCATGTGTTTTAATATAAAGTATTATTTTAAATATAAGTTGCAAGTATAAAGCTTTTCACATTTGTAAAATGCTTAGATACGTTGGTCTTTCAAATTTCATAATATTTCAAAGCTTTAGGATATCATTATTTTAAGTGATATTAATTAACTGTGGTGATTTCAGTGAGAATTTATTATAGCCTATTTAAATTTGGCTTGGTTTGGAATTTTATACAGGTTAATAGAACGTTTGTAGTTTCTTTTATAGCCAATAACGACAGCGAATTTATTGAGATTAAATATATATAATATATACCAAATATTGGGCATCAAATCTTCTTCTTCATTCCTTTTGCCAAAAATTAGGCATAAACATATTTATATATTTTTAAATACATACATATTATAGATAAAGTAAACCCAGACGCAGAACAAATGACCGTGTTCATCACACAATATTTGTCCCGGGTGGGAATCAAATCACGACCTCCGGCTTTGCAGTCAGGGTCACTAACCACTAGACTAAATGCTCAAAATTGGTGGATAGACTTGGAAAAAATGTTTTATGGGTTGAAAAAAAACAAACTACGCACGATTTAAAAGGTTTTCTCTGAATAGTCTAATAGCCAAGATATAGAGGGTTTCATCCGGAAACAGACCTCAAAGAAATATTAGTAATAGTAGTTTAAAGATAGTTAAAGTCAAATTAGTGTGTGAGTTTAACCCATTTTTAACCCCGGACGGAAAATGAGGGGTGTTATAATTTTATCTGTCTGTGGCATCATAGTTACCGAACGGATGGACCAATTTCGATGCGGAATTATTATTTTCATTGATTGATTGGATTGATCAAGATGCTTCTTAGTTTTTATTTAAATTGTGAAGGTAATTAGCTCACTTCCTAGGTGATGAAGGGATCTCACTAAAATCCACAGGTCCGATTCATTTGAAATTTAGTTTACTGTTACTTTGATGGTATTTCCACGACATGGTAACCTGGAACTTGCTGCTGCATCAAATAGTTGTGTCGACAGTCTATATGAAAACTATACCTCAAAAAAATATGTTACGATTTAAGAAAGACGTAAATGTTTTATAATCATACCGCCGTAAAAATTACTTAATTTGATTTATCTTACAGAAGTAAGTAAGTGCTTAGGCATCATAATTCATCTGACTCCGTGTTTAAATACCTGTAATTGTTGCGAGAGCTCATAATTCTCACAAGGTCTCCTTTAATTATTTTATATTCACAAATGTACAGTATATAGTATAACATTAACATTAACCATCACAAACACGTGACATCTATATTATACATTAACTAATCATGCAGAAAGGGGGTTGCGAACGTGCGTAGCATATGTGGCCTGTTCTTATAGAGGCCTAATTTGACAAAAGTCAGGCAAATTATGTTACAACCGCCAACACATCGATCCTAGACTCAATACCATCTGTACCATTTCTTTTTATTTATTTTTTATAATTCGTACAGATTTGGTGGTGTAACGAGCTTGCTCGACATATGTCATCATGGACCCCTGAAGGGATGTTCATGTGTGTATGGACAATTTTAAGTACCGCATATGGTGGCGGTGACTTGCTGACGAGCGACCGCGGCGACGTTCGCAGCCCCTGGCACTCAGGGTCGGAGACAGTCGCATGCGAAGCGGGAGGGGCGACGGTGGGGCAACATGAACGGGGCTCACTGAGAGGATGGTGCGGCGGCACGGAGAACGTGTAGTACTTGGCCGTTTGGTTGTGTGCGCGGAGCACAGAGCTGTGGGTCAGCGTCACCACCACCACGAGGACTGATGCCAGCGCAAGGGCGAAGAAGGAAGCAGCAACGGCAGCTACGACGCGTCGCCGTCGAGCCTCCTTGCCGGCATCCTCAGGGGGAACTTCGGGCTCAGGCGGTGGCGGTGGCGGCTCAGGAGATCGACTGCGAACGCTCGGGCCGCGGCTGTTGGGTAGCTCGAGTGTATGGCGGCGAGAGCGGCGTGCGCGCTCGCATTCTGCTGCCGATGAGTGGTGGCGGCGCAAGCGATGCGGTGCACCTGGAGCTACGCGACACGAAGCCGATCGTAGCGTGCGCACTGGCACCATCAAATCATCGCTAGATACTCGCGGCACGCGGGCCGAATGCACAGAACGGAACGAGTGTTCTCGCGTTGAGCTACTTGGGTAAGCGTGATCGACGGAAGCGCGGGAAGAATGTCGAGAAAATCTATCGCGATCGCGATGGTCTACGCGCACCGACATGGTGCGGGCGGAGCGCGCGGCGGCGGCCGCCCGAGTGCCGCGATCCCTCCCCCGCGTGGTCACGTCGCCGCGCCGAGCCGCGCACCCGTGTTTACACTCCTCGACGATCACACAAAGAACGCTTACAAATATTCCTCCACATCACAAGGTAACGTCGTCGTAACGTCTCATTCGAACGTCGTAGACATCGTATTTGCACGATTAAGGGTGTTTGGACTTCCTTTTTAACGCGCGAACTACAAGCAAATGTTTACTCGAACACTGAAATTGCCAAATCGTATTTCAGTACCTCAGTGATTCCAATAATTTATCCATACACCAAAATTACAAAACTGTAGGTTTTATATAAAAGCATACACTTTAAAGAGAAGTAAAAAAAGAAAAAAGGGTATCGAGCCAAAAAAAGTTCAATAACGTCGCTTTAGCAAACATTTTTTACTAGTTGCCTTCGAAAAATATGTTAATTTTTCCGTTTGAAAAAGCGGTTAGTATCAACCAGCCTCCCATTGGCAGGGACTAAGCGGGGTAAATAGAGCGAGCAGCCTTTGTTGTAGCCCACGTTGTCAAGTTAAATTGTCTCGGAGGCGGGAAACATAACAGATAGAGAAGTTGTCGCGAGGCCGCTACATCGACACTATTCAATAGAGAATGTTTCTACATACACTACATATACTCGTACTATACAGACTGCCTAGAGCCGCATCTTTATGGCGTGTATTCATAACTACTGCGACTAGCGCACATAAACCGTTTGTTTGGAATGGATGTTTAAAAATATACTGTAACGACGTCAGCCAGTTTTACAGGTTATGGACACATTGTTTTTTCATACATATTCTATACATATACTAACATATGTATGTATAGTATACGAGTAAATATGTATGAAAAACTCTATTGTTAAATGCTTTTATTGCATGCAAATTTTATTTATCAAAAAGTTATATGAAGAAAATAGTATAGTCTCAAGTTTTCGCTGTCCCCAGTTGTCTCAGTTCGCGATTGAAACGTAACTGACATACAATGCCTGCGACACAATGATGACGCCATTCTGTCGGACATCCCGAAGATAAGATATGGAACCTTCGTTCACTACCCCATTGATGTGTATACTATATTAACAGACGTATTGTTCTATGTTTTTTTTATGTCAAAGAAGTCTAATTGTCTAATTTAAAATCAAGAATTGTTTTGTCGTAAGCTTAATATTTTCAATATGTAAACTATAACTTAAATATAATATTATCGACTTACCCCAGCTTCGCACGGGTTTCAGTATACCATTTACAAGTATTTCTTAATGTTTATCGCCTGCGGAAGTCACGCAAATTATTTTTTCAACGACTAAATCTGAATCACATTTTTTTTTATTCTGTACTACCGGGGACTGTTGAAGCAACTATGGAACTTGATGATCTCACTCGTAACGTAACAAAGATCTTTGTGTCAAGAAAAAATCACTGTTATCTGATGGCATTTAATGTATTCATTTAGGAAAACTAAACATATATCTATTTCATAACTCTCCGCATTTCGTGGCAAATCGTTGATAAAATTCGAAAGTTCAAAACATTTTCTATTATAAATACTTAGCTAACACATCGTGTGCAGAACTTCTAACATAATTACCAAAAACCTATGTTTGACCATCTATTTATCACAAATAAATCACTACCAACGTTGATACCGCAGTCGAAGTGCACAGTAAACACATCGACGATTTGTTCGTGTTTCCATTTCACGGGTGTGGAATCGTATCTCACGATCACTTTTTAAAGTAAAAAGTATGGGTTTTAGGTATTTTACACACAGTCTTGGTCATGATATGGATAAGCGACAACAATGGTGTATCATGACAAATGTCAAAAATAGTTTCTTCAAGAAATCATTTTAGTATTATAATATTATATCATTAATAATATTAAATAATTTATTTGATCAGGACCTGACAAATACACAGAAATTCAAAAATATCTTTAATATCTTTTGAAAAAAGTCTACTCCCGCACTAGGTATAAATCCTGTGTCGCGGGGGACTTTACAAACATACATGAAACAAAGAACACCCAAATTTAATATTAAATATCAAAAATTAAATATTAATGTCGATACTTATGCAGTAATATCAATGTAAGTATTTCAACCGGATTACCTCTAAAATATACGTGTAGGTACTACTTCCTAAAGTATAGATAGGATAGAAAGGAATCTGTGGAAAAACTAACTAGAATCTATTACTGCTCTTGACTTTCCCCTTCAAAGTACGGATTTCTTATTATCAGATTAAACCTTATAAAATAAAAAACAAGAATTTTTAAAATCTGACTGCACGGATGGCGTCACTACGCCACTGTTTAAGCGGTCGCCACGCCGCTCACTATTACGCTGAGTGTTGTGGATCCGATCAACACATGGGGCGACACTTTGTGTGATCCACAAATTGTTGCTCTGAGTCTGGGTGTTCGTTGTGTCCGTTTCACGTATGTTTGTAAAGTCCACCGCGACACAGGATATACATATATTCTTATTGCGGATGTTGTCTTTTTTAAAATAATCTTAAATTTGAGTCACAACTAACATGGCAGTGATACCAATGGGGCCAACAAGTAAACGGGTCAGCTGATATTTAAAGAATTTTTCTTCAGAACACAATGATTTATTCTGGTTTTTAAATACGCGTCACTCAGTTGCAATATATGTAATCCCTTAAATACTCGTACATAGATAAAACTGATAGATAGACAGTGTTACATTCGCATTAATTATACTAAAATTAATATTCAATCTATAAGTATAGATTATACATGCTATACAAATAAAAAAGACGTGTGGCACTCGGGGACTGCCGCGGTAAAGCTATTGCATAGCATTTTGTATCAACTTATGCAATTATAATTATTTATTTATTTTATTTATGCAGTATTTCTTTTTCTTTGATATTAATTCAAGTTACACTTTTTGAGCGTGGTGACCGATAAGAAAACAATTTTTTTCTTTTATTAAATAAAAATATTGAAGCATATATTACAATTTGTTTTTAAATAAATAAATAAAAAATATTATTATTAAATCAAATTACATATCCATGTAAGATTTTTCTGCATTATGTTGACGAAATTTCCTTTGACGTTCAGCATTTGATTTTGGTACTGTTTTTTGTTTTGTTTTTAGCGTGAGGTTTTTTTTCGTTACGGAATTTCTGGATTCGGTCCCCCCGCTCAAGGCCCTCGATAGAAGCTATGCAATAGCTTAATAACATTAAAGTGACTTTTTTTTCATGGTAAAAGGGGGCAAACGAGCAGACGGGTCACCTGATGGTAAGCAACTACCGCCGCCCATGGACACCTGCAACTCAAAAGTCACAAGTGCGTTGCTGCCCTTGAAGTCCCTCCCGCTCGAGTCAGCGGGAGGGGGATTTGGGCTCCGGTAACCACACTCGCTCAGTGAGAGGTAACGAAAGAATTGCTTAACACCGGTTTTCTGTGAAGCCGCAGTATCACTGTCTGTTTGTAATGCCAAAATAATAGGTTTTTTTTATACTCAAATAACCGTGCATACTTATATTTGCACGACACCTATACCTTAAAAACAGGTTAAATAGTTTTTGTGTGTCTATCTGTTCCGGGTGATCTTCAAAACGACTGTACCGATTTTGATAATATTTTATTATCAGGTAGCTGTCCCTATAAGGAGTAGCTTAGGATATTTTTCGTCTCAGAAATCTCTATAATATTTTGGCCAGTCCGGGGGTCGAATCCACTAAAGCAGTGCTTCTAAAACTCCACACGAACGCAGTCGCGGGCACCAGCTAGTATATTAATATTTGCATAGAATTATAAAATTTACTAAATATTAATTAATGATCCATGAATTGCTTATGTTTTAAACAGATATAATGATCTGCTATATTGATACATATGGAAGAAACTGTTTGAAGGCTTTGAGTTTATGAACAACAATTGTGGACACTGACAGTTATTGGGATCCTTGGACATGAATTATGCATGGGACTCCTCCAACCGCACCTATAATATAAAAATTTATAGGTAAACCCCTTCGTAAAGGTAAAACGAGATCACAAACGATGAACAGAGGCGGTACCAATTTACTAAATATAGCATCCAATCTATACACAGTATTATGAACATCTTATATTAGTTCAAAACTGATGTTTAAAACTTTGTATAAATAAAACCCCACGTTGTTTACACTACATTATAATTATAGAATTTGGCGGAAATCTGGACAGAATCATTTAGTGGCGTGTAGGTATTCAATTTTAATGTACGCTGGTAACATTAGTATTGTTGTCCGTATAATAAAATTCATCTATTGCTTACGATCGTTATTGGGTATAGAGGTTACCTTATGCCCTACTAAATACTTTTTCCTTTCTGTAGTAATTCTTATCTATTAATTAAAAACTAGATTTTGCTCGTAGCTCCGCCCGCATACATATATGTCGAAAAAGTAGCCTATGTTACTCAATGATAATACAGCTTTCTAATGGTGAAAGATTTTTAAATCGGTGTAGTGGTTTAGGCGTGAAATCGTAACAAACAAACAAACATTCATAATGTAATTATGGATATAATTGGACATTTTATTCAAAGAAAGTGGTGTATTTCGGAGTTGTCCGACTAGTTTTTAGCGGTTTGCCGCGACGGTGAGTGGTATGTGATGCACGAATAACAAGCCGACTTATTTCTTGAAAAAGAGCCTCCATCATGTCTAAAACTATATCAGTATAAATATGTACATTCAAGATTTTATTCTAACTTTTTTACACAGACAGAACCTAACACTAACACTAACCTAACACTAAAACTTGAACTTGAATATAGCATGGTTTTTGAAACTATTATTTCAGTATTCACCAAATAGGACTTTACTCTTCAACACAAAGAGTAAAGTACTATCTTTCGTATTATCTGTATTTCTTACGATGCACTTAAGCTGGCGAGTGATTTCTCTGATGGTTCACAGATTGGTGATGTATG